TTCCCCCTCGCCCCTCGGGGAGCGGCCGGGTCTGAGCCCCCCGCTCATGCGGGCAAGGCCGCTGCCCTTGGCTCTGGGCCCGGATCCTAGGCCTGGTTGGCCCTCGCTAGGCAGGCTGCGTCCACCCCTCGTGCATTTCTCTCTCCGGAGAAGAGGGCGCCTCTCTGGGCTGCTCCTCCAGCCTGGGTCCGAGCACGGGAGCCGGCCCTGGCCTGGGGGGATGCTGGTAGCTGGAAAGATTCCACACTAGACTCAGAGGCATCTGCTGTACCCGAGGATTTTAACGACGCAGGGTTGTCCAGTAGCTAGTGAGGAATAGGGACCCAGGGCGTGCATTTCTCTCTCCGGAGAAGAGGGCGCCTCTCTGGGCTGCTCCTCCAGCCTGGGTCCGAGCACGGGAGCCGGCCCTGGCCTGGGGGGATGCTGGTAGCTGGAAAGATTCCACACTAGACTCAGAGGCATCTGCTGTACCCGAGGATTTTAACGACGCAGGGTTGTCCAGTAGCTAGTGAGGAATAGGGACCCAGGGCTCCTTAAGGGTCTGACCCTAGTTCTGCTACTCATTTGCTGTTTGCCCAGTAGTAAAGTCTGTGACCGGTTTCCCCCTTTCTTAAAAAGTGTATTTTTAACCTTTGCAAAAAAAATAAAATGCACCTATCACCATGGTTTCCAGACATGCACAATATTAAACATTCCATTACAGCAGTGATGGGCGATCTAGTTAGCGAGCGGGCTGCATGAATCTCCAGCCTGCATCTTAGCGGGCTGCAGAATTAACATAACCACGGTGGTCTCCCAGGTTAAGGTAGTTTTGCTAACTCTGCTTGCATGCCTAGAACTTTCAGGGTGAGCCAATTGAACCGTAGCAGTGCTTTGATTGGATGCAACAGGAACACTCGGCTCTTGCAGTCAATGTTGTATGCAAACAGCATGTACCTCACTTCATGTTGCCCACCACTGCATTACAATGATGGTTGCTGGCATGAACAGATTCTCGGCCTATAAATATACATTGGGGTTTGACTGTGTTTGTAAAGAATTTTCTGTTCTTGGATGAAAGGCAACATAGAGGAGCAAATTAGAGTAACAATAATATTGACATGCATGCCAAGCGGTCCTTATCCTCCTTGTAACTTTGCATGACTGGGAACACCTCGGAAGCACAGCCCAGTGTGTATATTTGGGCGTGGATTTGATTTGAGCATGTCACATGTGAGCATGAATGGTTTGGGATGAGACTGGGGGAGTAAGGGAGGTTAAGCTCCGACCTGCTTCTGTAGGATGCACTGAAGGACTTAGCAACCTAGTGAAGGACTTAGTGGCCAGGGTACAGACTCTTAGATTCCACAGATCTTGGTGAGACTTAAGTGAACTCTGGAGCCCTACCAAGGTCTGTGAAATGTGAGAGCCTGTACCTCTGTCATGGATCTGATGGAATCTTTGTAGTTACTGTGGCATCTGAGAGCCCACTGTGTCTCATGGCATGTGTATTTGGGAGCAGTAATTTGGAGCAGTGTGGTGGAGGGAGCTATAATTGGCTTCTGCAAAAGCAAAAAATAGGTTTTCTGTATAAAAGGTCCACCGGACTTGATGCCCCAAGCCCTGACTCATCACCACCATGTCGGGCACCGTGTCCATCCTTCAGCACTTTGCCAGCGGCCTGAAGAGCCGCAATGAAGAAATCAGGGCAAAAGCCGCCAAGGACTTGCAGCATTATGTCACCATGGAGCTCCGTGAGGTAAGTGCTGTAGATGTGGAAGCAGCAGCATTTAGCTGGGGAGATATGTTTGTATTATGTGGCTGGGGAATGAGAGGTGTCACCAGTAGGGATGTAAGTGACTAGTTAAGCGCTGTAGATGTGGAAACAGCAGCATTTAGCTGAGGAGATATGTTTGTATTATTTGGCTGGGGAATGAGAGGTGTCACTAGTAGGGATGTAAGTGACTATTTAAGTGACTACTTGACTATTCGCTATCCACACCCACCCCCACACCCCAGCCCCGCTGTCTCTGGGGGTAGATCCCAGAGCTGGTGCAAGCTGGGACTGAGCAGTCCCGGCTCGGGCCGGCTGTGGGACCTGTACAGCTCTGTATTTTAAATGTAGTAAGAGCTGCCTTTGAATTTGGGAGCCTGGAAAGTGTTGTTGCCCTTCTTCATCTGGGGCACAGGTAGTGGAAAAGGGATTATAAATCGGTCTGAATTCCTTTCCTGTGCAGATGAGCCAAGAGGAATCCACTCGTTTCTACGATCAGTTGAATCACCACATATTTGAACTGGTCTCTAGTTCTGATGCGAATGAAAGGAAAGGAGGCATTCTGGCTATAGGTGAGTAAAGGAATTCATCAGCATCTTTGGTGAACTTCCTCTTCAAGTTCTATAGAGGCAGGTTGTCAAAAGAACTCTGCACCTACAAGAGGCACTCTGTATGCTGAAGAGAGCTCAGTGCAATGAGGGTGTATGGGATGCAGAACTCTTAAAACTATGAGGCTGCTCAAGAGGGCTTATACCTGAGCAGGAGCGTCGGAGTATTTGCGCAATAACCACTGATTTTGTACATTACAAAGTCAGTGTTCTTGCACAAATAGTCGTGGCCAGTGTAGACAGGCGGCAAGATTTTGCGCAAAATTGGCCACTTTTGCTCAAAATCATGCCAGTCTAGACGCAGCTTGACTGTAAATGTCACATTGGGAGCTGTTGGTTGCTGAGCACTTCTGAAAATCTGGCCCTATGCTCTTTATAGTGTC